CCATGGCTGCCTGCAAAGTGTGAGCCAAGGCGGGGGTGACCATGGCTGCCTGCAAAGTGTGAGCCAAGGCGGGGGTGACCATGGCTGCCTGCAAACTGCGGGGCAGGGGTGGGAGCAGGGAGGACAGGGATGGCTCATCCAGAGCCAGAGGAGAGAAGGAGCAGAACTATGCCTATATTCCAGGCCACCAAAATGGGCAATGCACATCAGCAAAGCTCAGGAACACCAGACCTGGTGCCCATTGCCAGGACATTCCTGTCATCCACAGAATCCCAGAATCATTCTGGTTGGAAAATCCCTCCCAGCCCATTGAGTCCATCCCGTGCCCATCCCCACCTTGTCCCCAGCCCAGAGCACTCAGTGCCACCTCCAGCCCTTCCTGGGACACCTCCAGGGATGGGCACTCCAAACCTCCCTGGGCAGCCCCTGCCAAGGCCTGACCACCCTTTCTGTTGAGAAAATCTTTGTGATGTCCAAGCTAAACATCCTCTGCCACAACGTGAGGCTGTTCACTCTCCTCTCTCTTCCAGACTCCCCCTAGCTGCTCCCTCCTTTCAGGGAGTGGTTGAGAGCCAGAAGGTTCCCCCGAAGCCTCATTTYCTCCAGGCTGAGCCACTTTCCCAGCTCCCCCAGCCCCTTCCCAAGGTCCATTCCTTTCTCTGCACAATGTCTCTATTGAACCACAACTGGACTTCAGGCAAGAGAGACTTGTTGTTACCTCCATCACTCTGTTTCTGCTGTTGAGAAATGGGTGCCTGAGACAATMCCCCAGGAAAGCACAGAGCCTTCCTGCATGGATTTTGTTCGTGTTTTGTATTTTGAGCAATCCTGAATTACTTYAGAAGATGATTTTGAAATGCAAATTCTCAGGCTGAGGAAATGTCTCAGTCTGGACAGGGAGGTCTGGGTTGATTAAGCAGGGTTATAATGTCCAGCTCCCAGTTCTGTGCTCAGGTGCTGATGAGAGGCTGATGTTCCAAAGGGCTGATCCCATCTGGATCCCGTGGCAGCCCTTCCCAGGCCTGCTGGGACTCCCCAGCACAGCAGGGCCAGCTCCAAGGCCCTGGCACTTGGTATGGGGGTGGGGATGTTGTCAGGGCTGATCAGAAGCAGAGGAGAAACCCAGCAGAGGAGACCCCACWGAGCTGCTCTTTGTGATCTGCATCTCTGCAGGGAGCCGAGGCAGCCCTGCTGCTCTTCCAGGTGCTGGGGGGGCTGGGAGGGGGTGCACAGAGGGAATCCAGGATGTGTTTGCTCTTTGCTCTCAGAMAGACAGGGGTTGATAACTCCATGCAAGCCCTCAGCTCTCTGTAACCCAGTGTCCCACACCTCTCCACAGCTCCCAAGTGACTCTGGAGGAAAGAACAAGGAATGGGGCGTGCAGACAATGCCCTTTTCCCTGTTAATGCCCATGTCCCAGCCAACAGCAGCTTTGAGGCTGCTCAGACCCTGTTTAACCCCCACTGACACAGCCAACACTCCCTGCCCCCTTTTGCCAAATCACTTTGTGCTTTCACTCTCTGCAGCATCCYGGAGCCAAAATTCCTCCAAGCACCCTCATTTGCCAGACAGGCTGGAGGCTCTGAACAGCATCGGGAGACACAGCAGAAGCAGGGGGTCCCAGATCCCACAGAGGGTCCCAGATTCTGCAGAGGATCCCACATCCCACAGAGAGTCCCAGATCCCACAGAGGGTCCCGGATCCTGCAGAGGGTCCCAGATCCCACAGAGAGTCCCAGATCCTGCTGTTCCAGGCACCTGGCAGGGCAGGCACAAGGGAAATGTGTCCAGGAATGGTCTGAGCTGTGGGAACTGTGCTGAGAGTTGATTCTGTCCCAGGAAACTTCCTCCTGCCTATCTCTRCTTGACCTTTTTCCTTTCTGAAACACCAACATTTCTGCCTGAARATACAGTCCAGGGTTCCTGAGACCCGAAGAGCTTGTGTTTCCACAGCCTGGCTGACATGGAGCTCAGGTTCACCTTGACACTGGTGCCAGGCCACCCCCAGTCTGTGCCCAGGGCTGCCTGGAGATCCCTCCCCTCGTGTGGGCAGAGCTCGAGGTGGCACCTCCAGACTGGCAGCTGGCACAGCTGGATCAGGAGTGTTTGAGCACCTGAGGCCCTTTGCCCCAGGCTCAGCCTGGCCCTGAACTTTGTCTGCCTGGTGCAGATATCCCTGGCCAGCAAGTGCCAGGTTTGTGATGGGGCCGTACAAGATCTGGCACAGCACCCAGCAAAGCTATTTGTTCCTCAGCCATTTCTCATGCCATGCCATGCTCTGCTGCTGTCTGYAATCCTGCCCTGGCACGGGGCACCAGCCTCTGCTCACTCAGCTGCCATGGGCATGGGATGCTCACCCAAAACTCCTGCTCGAGGGGCAGCTGTGGCCAGAAGAGAGGATGGACACCAGGATTCATGATGGGAAATCAGGGAGCAATGTGAAGAGCAGCCCCAGGCTGTACCTGGCTGCAGATCTGGGCACAGGTCCTAGAGCTGCCCAGGCTGGAGGATGCACCTGGAAATGGATCCTGCTGGGAAAAGCTGTGCTCAGCCAGGGCTGCCTGGCCAAAAGAGGACTGGAACCACCAAATGGAGAGAGGGAGCTCCTGCTGTCCACATCTCATGGCCAAGGAGAAGGAGACAGACAGTGAAATGTTAATGGGATAAGAAGTCACCGAGACCAAGAATGGAATTGGATTCCAGACTGGTCATTTGTAACAAGAATATGAGGTTTTATTAAAGGAAATCATTCCCAAGGGACTTGAACATGGCTGCTCCGGTGTCACATCTCTGCTGTGTGGGCAGGGGGTGCTGACAGAGTTTGGGGGTGGTGTGGCACCCACTGGGTGGAGGGGGGGWGGTGGCTCAGCACAGGGGGAGGATGAGGAGTGGAACTGGGGTTGGTTTGGGTGCTGGATGAGGGGCTGAGTGAACACCAGGGCTCAGCAGCAGGAGGGTGGCACAGGAAGGTGCCTGGCAAGCGGATGGAGCCTGCCAGGGAACAGAGAACAGCCCAGGCACCAGCAAAGTCTGGTGGGAAGAGCATTTCTCAGATGGATCTCACTTTTTGCTGCCCAGATTCTGTGGTGGGACAGGGAGGCAAAGGGACAGGAGTGTTACCTGAGGGGAAAGGCAGATCAACAGCTGGGAGATAACTGAGAGAAAAGGCAAATCAGCAGCATGGACATAATGTGCAGGTGGAAGTCCAGAAGCAAAGTGGGGATTTCCCTTGGTAGCACAGGGTACAAATGCCTGATCACTGCCAGGATTTGGCATTGGAGCTCCCAACACTGGGAACTGCATCCTCTTGAAGTGAGTTGGAGCAACTCAGGGAAAGAGAGATGCAGGATAACCTGAAAGGTCTTCACAAGGGTTTCTTCAGGAGCTGACATGAAATACGTGCCCTGCTGTGGCCCAGCAAACCCCCACAGGGCTGCTGAGAAATTAATTTCTGCCTCTGTGTTGTGGCACCAGTGAACCTCTGCCTCCTTGGGATGTGGGAGGCTGCAGGGACAGGGAGTGTCAATGAATTCAAAATTGTTTTATGGACAACAGATTAAAATAAAGAGACAGCAGAAGCAGCAGAGAAGAATGTGCCCTCTAAATTCCATAACAACAGTGGTGAGTGCTGGAGAATTCCAGGAGGAGCAGATTCCAGAAGGAACTGGACACATGTCCYGTCTCCTCCTGCCATTGCTGGGGCRGGGCTGGGCTAGAGGCACCTTTGATCAGCCCYCAGGGAAATTCCCACCTCTGGGCCATTCCCATGCACSTCCAAATTTGGCTRCTCTCTCCTGTTCCTCTTTACTCCYGCTGAAGCTTAGTTGAATCCTGCTSCRATGCTTTGGAGCAGACCAAAGAAAAACATGTTTAGAGACAAGATCAGGTTCTCCAGCAAACGTAATTATGTCTCACTAAAGCTCAGATGTGATCTGCCAGCTCCCCCTGTGCTATAAAAAGAACAGGAAATCCATTACAAAAGTCATTATCTCTGCAGAGCRGCTCAAAGAGGAAACATTCCCCCCTCATCTCAAAGGTCACCCAGCAAACCCGCCCGGCAGGCTCRGCACGGATAACGCCCTGCTCCGGGTGTCGGGGCTGCCTCATTCCTGGGCTTCCACACGGCCAGACCTGCCCAAGGATGCTGCACACCCCGAGACAGACCCTCTCTGAGCATGTCACATCCTGGTTAAACTCCAATTCCTAAAGGGGCTCCAGGAGAGCTGGAGAGGGACTGGGGACAAGGGATGGAGGGACAGGACAC